GCTGCTGCTGCTTTTGCTGCTGCTGCTGCCTTCATATTTTTGTTTATTTTTTTTTTATATTTTATTTTTTTGTGGTTTTCTTTGTTTTATTATTTCTTTTTGTATTATCGTCTCCCTATTCATTTATTAATTATTTATTTATATTTATTTATTTATTTATATTTATATTTATTTATTTATATTTATTTATATTTAGTTTATTTATTTATATTTAAACTTATTTATTTATTTATCTCTGTCCTCTCTCTGCCCTGTCTTATTTTTTTTTCTGCTTTTCTTTACAAACCACTTCATCTCTCAACTTAAACAAACAAACAAACGCATAAATATAATTAATTAATTAATACTTTATTTATTTATTTATTTATTTATTTATTTGTTTATTTATTTGTTTGTCTGCAGTAATCCCTAGAGCTACTGGACGAGGCCCCCGCGTGAACTTGCGGTTTCTACCTCTGATATATTTAGCAGGTTTAACAAATTGTAGTGTACGCTTCTTCGGCCCCTCTGCATGCAGCCGCTGGTTCTCAAGGAGTAAAGCTTTTGTTAGAGCGCTGCAGCAAATACAAAGCAGACAAACAATTGCTAGAAGCAGAGGCATCAAGGCTGATCTCCTTACAGCCCCAGGAGACACCTGGGTTCATTGGCCTGACAGGTATTCTTATCTTTATTATTATTATTCTGCTGCTGCTGCTGCTGCTGTTGCTGCTGCTGCTGTTGCTGCTGGTGCTGTTGCTGCTGTTGTTGTTGCTGTTGCTGGTGCTGTTGCTGCTGCTGTGGTGCTGTTGCTGCTGCTGTGGTGCTGTTGCTGCTGCTGGTAGTCTTGCTGCAGGTGCTGTTGCTAGTACTGCTGCTTCTGCTGCTGCTGCTGCTGTTGCTGCTGCTGCTGCTGTTGGTGCTGTTGCTGTTGATGGAGAAGCGAAATCAGAATTAGCAGCGCGATTACGATGCTGCTTCTTTTGCTGCTGCTGCATTGGTTGCATTTGCTGCATTTGCTGCATTTGCTGCTGCGGTGTCTGTACACCTCAGTTGGTTTAGGCCGATTGCTGCATCCTACAAGGAGAAGCTGCAGCAAATAAAACAAAGGAGACACAAAACAGCGCGCTGGGCCTTCCGCAGCAACACTTCAGAAATTATACCTGAAGAATGCAGACCTGAATTCACCCCTTATGTCAGCCTGCTGCTGCTGCTGCTGCTGCTGCTGCTGCTTGTGCTGCTGCTGCTGCTGCTGCTTACGCTGCTGCTGCTGCTGCTTACGCTGCTGCTGCTGCTGCTGCTTGTGCTGCTGCTGCTGCTGCTGCTTATGCAGCTGCTCCTACTGTGCTTCGCATGCTGCTGCTATTGCTATTGCTGCTGCTACTGCTGCTTCTAATGCTGCTATTGCTGCTGCTGCTTATAATGCCGCTACTGCTGTTGCTATTGCTGCTGCTATTGTTGCTATGGCTGCTGCTAGTGTTGCTGTCCCTGCTGTTAATCATGTTGCTGCTGCTGCTATGCATGCTGTTGCTGTGCCGGCGGTGCCTCTCTGCTGCTGCTGTTGCTGCTGCAGTTGCTGTTGCTGTTGCTGCACCCTATTGCTGCTTTCTATGTTGCTGTTCCTTCTGCTGCTGCTGCTGCTTTACTGAGCCCCTGCCCTATGTCTCTATACCTATTGTCTTTGCTTCTGCTGCTGCTGTTGCTGCTGCTGCTGTTGCTGCTGCTGCTGCTGCAGACGTGGAGACCTCCCCTGGAGCGCTGGGTGTTGCGGCAGAAGCAGCAGCAAATAATTCAACATAACGTAAAGCAGCTAACTCTAGAGCCCCCCCACCCCTATAAAACCTCTCTACTAACCAGCAGCAGCAGCAGCAGCAGCAAGAGCAGCAGCAGCAGCAGCAGCAGCAGCAGCAGCAGCAGCAGCAGCAAGACTAGGCCCATCGATACGGCGATGTTACAGAGAGTGCTTTCAGCAAGATTGCACAGAAATAAAGAAGTTTAAAAAGAATAAACAAATTGTAAGTAAATAAATATATAAATAAATAAATAATTTATTTTCTCTCTCTTCCTTTCTTAGGGTTTAGGGTTTAGGGTTTAGGGTTTAGTGTTTAGGGTTTAGGGTTTAGGGTTCAGGGTTACCACCGAACATCGATTGCTTTGCATGCATTTCAATGTTTATTTATTTTAATTTTATTTATTTTATTTATTTATTTTAACTAATTAATTAATTATATTTAATTATTTTATTTATTATTATATTAATAAAATAATTAATTAATTATGTCAACGATCTGTAGCTTGCTATAAGAAAGCAGCATATAAATAAGTACAGGTAAAAATAATAAATATATAAATATTTATTAGTTTGATATATTGATGTATATTTATATATTAATTCATAGAATAAATATATGTTTATTTACTCTATATGCATATATATATATATGTTTGTATATTATATATGTATATATTTGTATACATATATATATACTATCTACATATATATATGTATATTATGTACATATAT